GGCTTGTTCTTCTTCGAGTGCTTGCTCATATCGATTCCAATTAGGTGTGCGCGCGCTGCGTGCACGATCGTCGGAGAATTTTCTACCCTAGCAACACCCGGTGGGTCGGGTGTGGAGCCCCCTGGAGTGGCGCCTTCAAGGCGCTGGATATATACCCCAGCCAACCCAGCATCCCCTCAGTTCCTTCTTACCGCCCGTGACGGTCATAGCTGTTCTCCACTCTCCCTAGCTTTACTTGTTAGTTCTTGTAGATAGTTGTTGGTTATATACTTATATATTAGTAGTTTGTTGTTAATAGTTTTGTAGAGTAGTTATAAATAGTTAGCGGGGGTTAAGGGGGCTTTTATCCCCCCTTTTCCCCCCGGCGTGCAGCCGGGCTCATGCCCAAGGCTCCTGGCTTTAAGCCGTGCGCGACCTGTGCTAAGCCTACGCCAACGGGAGACCCTCACGACTCTTGTCTGAAGTGTCTAGGGGAGTCCCACCAGACGGACAAGTGTAAGATCTGCAAGGCTTTCAGGCCCAGGACCAAAAAGGAGCGGGACTTTAGACTTAAGCAGCTCCTTATGGAGGCGGCACTTAGCCCAGATCCTCCTTCGGCGCGCCAAGTCCCGGCACTGAGCGCCTCAGTGCGCAACGCCCCGGCCTGCACCGCGAGCTGACGCGGATAAGGTCCCACGGCACTGTCCTCCCTCGGCACCGTGTCCGCCGCAAGCCCCTCGGGCGCCGTTCCCTATCTCCGGGGCATAAAAGACCCCGCAAGACCCAGGACGCTGCCTTCCAACAGGCACCGGCTCCCCCCGCACCGGTGGTAGAGCCGCGTCCAGCTTCAGAGCGCCAGAGGGTGCAGGCATTGTCAACACCGTTGACTCCGGCACCGGGTGTAGGGCCGTTGAGTCCGGTGCGGACTGGCTTACCGCCTCGTCCTGTGGTTGAGCCCGGTCTCCCTTCTACACTGGAGACTTTTGCAACGGCGAAAGACCTCATCGCCCTCACGGAGCCGGCGCCATCTCAACCCACGGCACCGCATCCCCTTCCCACGGTGCAATCCAGGGGCAAGCCTGCCCTGGTACGCCCTCCATCTCCGAGCGTAGACTCGTGGCACCGCTCCCGGTCTCGGAGCAGGTCCCAACGCCGCTCGGAGTCCCGGCACCGATCTCCATCTTGGCGCCGGTCGTACTCGTGGCCTAGATCTTCCTCCCGGCACCGGTCTACTTCTCGGCACCGACTTGAGCATCATACCGGTCGGAGTCCAGACGCAGTTCCTGGCACCGGTATGAGCGCCGCTCCCATTCACGAGGCCGCTCCCGGCACCGAGTCTACAGACGGTCTTCGTCTTCGCGATCCAGATCTGGATCCCGGTACCGGCATGGCCATCGGCACCGTTCTCGATCCCGGTACCGCTCACCGGCACAACACAGAGACCGCTCGCCTGTGGACCGGCACCGCTCGGCACCGTTCCAGGACGAGCCCCTGCAACCACGCTTGGCACCGCCCTGGCCCTCAAGATCGGCGTCTCACTTGTCGGAAGGGGCTTCCTGATCAGCATACCCTGCTCAGGGTCAGGCTGCAGACGACTTCGGTCATTGGCAGGAGGGGACAGAGGACCCTAGACAGGACCCTGCACATTGGTCTTTCTGGACTCCATGGGCATATCACCAAGCTCAAGGGGCTCCACTAGCGGCCTCTCGCTCGGCACCCTCTGAGCCCAGGGTTCCTGAGGACACCATCTCCCGTCCTCCCCCAGGGTGCATGGAGGCTCCCGTGCCGACACCCACGCAGGCCCCAGACCCTAGTGCAGGGGATCCTGCACATCAGGGACCCTTGGAGCTGGACCCTCATCTGGATCCGTTACCCCCTGAGGCATCCTCCTCATCCTCCCCAGATGAGGCGGTGGCGGGCACAACAACCTCAGGCCCACCTCCAATAGACCTCCATGCCCACCAAGACCTGTTGCATAGGGTGGCACGGAACATGGACCTACAGGCAGAGGAGATAGTGGAGGTGGAGGACCCTGTGGTGAACTGATGCCCCATCCCGGATGGCGTTGCCCATTATTCGTACGATCCAGGCTAACGCTAATGCCATATGGCAAACCCCGGCCTCCATCCCTCCCACTGCCAGAGGTGTAGAGAGGAAGTACTTTGTCCCCTCTAAAGACCATGAGTACCTCTATACACACCCTCCGCCGTGTTCACTAGTAGTCTCCTCAGTGAACGCAAGAGAGCGTCATGGTCAGCAGGCGGCAGCGCCCAAATCGAAGGACGCCAAACGCTTTGATTTGTTTGGACGTAAGGTTTACTCAGCAGGGGGTCTGCAGCTCAGAGCCGCAAACCAACAGGCGCTCTTGAGTCGGTACAATTACAACTCATGGAATTCCATGGGTAAATTTAAAGAGTTGGTCCCCCAGGACTCGAGGGAAGAGTTCGGGGCCCTAGCGGAGGAAGGTAAAAAGGTGGCTAGGACCTCCTTGCAGGCCTCCCTGGACATAGTGGACTCTGCCGCCAGGACACTAGCGTTTGGGATAGCCATGAGACGCGTCTCCTGACCCCAGGTTTCGGGGTTACCACCAGAACTGCAGCAGACCCTGCAAGATCTGCCGTTCGAGGGCCAGGGGTTGTTCTCGGACAAGACGGACTCTCGGTTGCAGAGCCTCAAGGACTCCAGAACCATCATGCGCTCCCTGGGGATGCATGTCCCAGGACCCCAGCGCAGGCCCGTTAGGCCCCAGCCATAAAGGTTCTACCCTCCTCCTCCTCGTCCGAGACAGGACTTCCCCAGAAGGCGGGGACGAGGTTGTAGACGCAGGTCGACCGGCCCCCAACCCGGTCAGAACGAAGGCCCTCCTAGACCACCTTCAGGACCTAGGCAAAACTTTTGAAGGTGCGCTCGAGGACGGCATGCCAGCCACTACCCAGGATCCATTTCCTTTCTTTCGGAATTGCCTCTCCTGTTTCCACCGTGCTTGGTCCCTTATAACCTCGGACCGTTGGGTCCTTCGCACGTTGGAGAGGGGATACGCTCTCCAGTTTTCTTCGTTCCCCTCCTCTGACTCTCCCTCCCCGTCCCTCTTCAGGGACTCTTCTCACGAGCATCTCCTTACACAGGAGTTTTTTTGGGCTCCTCTCTATGGGGGCCATAGGGGAGGTTCCGTCAGAGTTAAGGGGCAGGGGGTTTTACTCCCGCTACTTCCTGATCCCCAAAGCAAAAGGGGGTCTGCGACCCATTCTAGACTTACGTGGACTCAACAAATTCATAGTAAAGTTGAAGTTCCGCATGGTCTCCTTGGGGACCATCATCCCTTCCCTGGATCCTGGAGACTGGTACGCCGCCCTCGACATGAAGGACACATATTTTCATATAGCAATCTACCCCCCACACAGGCGCTTCCTTCGATTTGTAGTAAACAATGTGCACTACCAATTTGCCGTCCTTCCCTTCGGCTTGTCCACGGCTCCAAGAGTGTTCACCAAATGTATGGCTGTCGTGGCAGCATACCTTCGTCGACAAAGGATACAGGTGTTCCCGTATCTAGACGACTGGCTGGTGCGCGGCCGCACCAGGGAGCAAGTTCAAGCTCACGTCCAGATAACACTACAAACATTCCACGACTTAGGCGTTTTACTCAACAGAGAAAAGTTCACTCTGAAGCCAACCCAGAGAATAGAGTTTATTGGGGCAGTCTTAGACTCCAGACTCGCCCGAGCTCTTCTGCCAGACACTCGGTTTCACACCATCACAAACATCATCCACGGACTCCAGGTCTTTCCGATCACCACAATAAGGACGTGCCTCGGCCTGTTGGGACACATGGCCTCTTGCACTTACGTAACCAGGCATGCCAGACTTTGGCTTCGCCCACTTCAGGGCTGGGTATCATCGGTGTACCGTCCTTATCGGGACAACCTGAACATTGTGGTCACGTTTCCGAAATAGGGCTTGACCTCTCTCACCTGGTTGCTGGATCACAAGGTGGTTTGCGCAGGAGTACCATTTCACACCCCACAACCCTCCCTGCACCTGGTCACGGACGTTCATCTCTAGGTTGGGGCGCTCACCTCAGGGAGCACCATGCACAGGGCCTGTGGACCGCATCCCAACTAGCTCTGCACATCAATGTCCGAGAGCTGATGGCGGTGCGCCTAGCCTGTCAGGCATTTCTCGGTCTCCTACATGGCCGTTGCATGTCAGTCCTCACAGACAATACCACGGCCATATTCTACATCAACAAGCAAGGAGGAGCCCGGTCGTCTCTCCTATGCCAAGAAGCCATTCGCCTGTGGGAGTTCTGCATTGCCCACTCGATACATCTCATGGCATCGTTCCTCCCTGGAGTCCAGAACACTCTAGCGGACCGTCTCAGCAGATCCTTCCAGATGCATGAGTGGTCAATTCGCCCGGATATCATCCATTCCATCTTCCAGAGGTGGGGATTTCCCAGGTCAACCTGTTCGCCTCACGAGCCAACAGGAAGTGCCACTTGTTCTACTCCCTCCAAGGGCGATCTGTGGGCTCCCTGTCGGACGCTTTCTTGCTATCGTGGAAAGACCAGCTGTTCTACGCTTTTCCTCCATTCCCACTGGTCCACAGGGTACTGCTCAGGCTACGCAAAGACAAGGCACGTATGATTCTAGTCGCTCCAGCTTGGCCAAGACCGCACTGGTACACCACGCTTCTGGAGCTATTGGTACAAATTCCGATCACGCTTCCCTTGTGCCCGGACTTGATGTCTCAGGACCACGGCCGACTTTGTCACCCCGACCTGCAATCGCTCCACCTTACAGCATGGATGCTCCATGGCTGAATCGGACAGAGCTACGATGCTCATATCTGAGACAGATTCTGCTGGGACATAGAAAGCCCTCTACACGGACCACTTACTTAGCCAAGTGGAAGCGTTTCTCCTGTTGGTGCGAGCAGCGAGCCACGCCCCCCCTTGCAGGCGTCAATTCCACTTATACTTGAATATCTCCTATCCCTAAAACAGCAGGGCTTGGCGATATCTTCGGTCAGGGTTCACCTGGCTGCTATATCGGTGTTCCACCCAGGAGAACACGCTTCCTCGGTCTTCTCGAACCCGATGGTCGTTAGATTCCTCAAGGGCTTAGACCGTCTATACCTACAGCAACGTCAACCGGTTCTGGCGTGGGATCTTAACCTGGTTCTCTCCAAGCTCACGGGGCCCCCGTTCGAGCCATTGGCTACCTGCTCACTCCTTTACCTATCTTGGAAGACAGCCTTCCTTGTAGCCATCACTTCAGCAAGGCGTGTTTCTGAAATCAGGGCGCTCACGTCTGAGCCTCCATACACAGTCTTCCATAAAGACAAGGTGCAGCTTCGCCCCCACCCTGTCTTTCTTCCCAAAGTGGTGTCAGCTTTTCATGTGAACCAAGATATATTCCTTCCGGTCTTCCATCCTAAGCCGCACGCCACCCGTCAAGACCAGTGTATGCACTCCTTGGACGTACGCAGGGCCCTTGCGTTCTATATTGAGCGTACGAAGCAGTTTACGAAGACGACGCAACTCTTTGTTGCAGTGGCTGACCGGATGAAAGGCTCACCGGTCTCCTCACAACGTCTCTCCTCTTGGATCACGTCCTGCATTCGTGCTTGCTACGACCTGGCTGGTGCCCCGACGCCGCGCCTCACCGCCCACTCCACGAGGGCCCAGGCCTCCTCAACTGCCTTCCTGGCTCATGTCCCGATCCAGGACATTTGTAGAGCGGCGGTTTGGTCATCGGTCCACACCTTCGCCACTCACTATGCACTTGTACAGCAGTCCAGAGTCAATGCTGCATTCGGATCAGCAGTTTTGCACTCAGCGATGTCTCACTCCAACCCCACCGCCTAGGTAAGGCTTGGGAGTCACCTGATTGGAATCGATATGAGCAAGCACTCGAAGAAGAACCCATATCCATTCCAAACCCGCCCCCCTTCCCCACTGTCAGAGTAGCCGGCAAGAAGGAACTGAGGGGGCGCTGGGTCGGCTGGGGTATATATCCAGCGCCTTGAAGGTGCCACTCCAGGGGGCTCCACACCCGACCCACCGGGTGTTGCTAGGGTAGAAAATTCTCCGACGCTCGTGCTCGCGGCGCGCGCACACCTAATTGGAATGGATATGAGCAACACATCTTGAAGAACAACAGTTACAAAGTTGAGTAACCGTTTTTTGTCTAGATCTCAGTGCAACCTGCAGAACAAGCCAGGTTTGAAGAAACTGGTTCAGTAGATTGAGCTATTTACAGATAGTGAGTTTGAATCTAACGTCCCTCCCTACTAGTATGGCCCTTAATTTTTCTAGTCCTTTTGTAAATCACTGTCCCGTACCTCCTCACCAAACAACCTTTCAGGAAACCGAGCACTGCTGAGCTTCCACCATGCTCTGTAGGCTTGGGAATAAAATCCAGGAATTCTGACTCCTGTTCAAACCCTCTAGACCCCACTTTTGTTCCAGAGCAGGACATAGAACCCAGGATTCCTACCCCCTAGTCCTAACTGTTCTAACCACCAGACTGCCCTCCCTGCCCACAGATGGGGAGAGAACCCAGGACTCTTTGCCCCATCCCCTGCTCCAACCCACTAGACCCTACTACCTTCCCAGAGCTAGGAATAAAACCCCGGCGTCCTGCGTTCCAGCTCCATCTGCTCTAACCACTGAACCCCACTCCTCTCTCAGAGCCGGGATCAGAACCCAGCCCCCTTCCCCCGCTCTAACCCACCAGCCTCCACTGCCCTCCCAGAGCCGGGGAGAGAAATCAGGAGTCCCGGCTCCCAGCCCAGCCTGCTCTAACACCCCTCCCCCACTCCCCTCCCAGAGCCAGGGCTGAACCCAGGAGTCCTGGCTCCCAGCCCCCCCTGCTCTAACCCACCAGCCCTTGCTCCCCTCCCAGAGCCAGGGAGAGAACCCAGGAGTCCTGGCTCCCACTTCCGTGCTCTAATCACTTCCTCGTTCAGCCTCCCTTGACCTCTCCAAGCGCAGGAAAAGGGTCCCTGGCCGATGGCTCAGTCATTCAGAAGAGGCGCCGTGTGGGCAGAGGCCGCTGAGCTCTTTGTCGCGTAGGTCCGTTCACCTGTGCTGTGAGCTGCGAGACGGCCCTGGAGCAGATCGCGGCGATGCGGCAGCTGCTGGCCACCATGAAGGATGAGGAGAGCACCCTGCGCTCCAACCTGGGCATCTTCAAAATTGAACAGCCTGCTTCCAAAGACCTGCAGAAGCTCGAGAAGGTGGGAACCTCCAAGGCCTGAGCTCCCCTCTCCTCCTTGGTGGACGGTGTCTCTCCAGCTGTGGCTAAGCTCTCTCTGTGTGGTGCCCTGCAGGAGCTGGACTACCTGCAGCAGGTGTGGGAGATCACCAAAGAGTGGGAAGACCACTGGAACGAGTGGAAGACAGGCAGCTTCAAGACCCTGCAAACGGAGGTGATGGAGACCACGGCTTATGGGCTCTTCCGGAAGCTCAACAAGCTGAGCCGGGAGCTCAAGGTAAGAGAGAGGCTCCCGTGGCCCGGCACTGCCGGCCGGTCCCCTTGTGGTGTACGGGAAGGGCTCTTTGGAGGGCGACAGCTGGGGAACTGGGGACAGCAGAGAAGGGGGCCTTTCCTAGAGCTCTGCTCCCTGCTCCTGCAGACCTTAGCTGGAGGTCAGTGGAGGAGCACTGTGGGATTGTGCTGGGAGAACCAATAGGGCTGGTGCAGCTGCAGGGCCCTCACTTCCTGTCCTCATTAGATGTGGTGCAGAGGATCTCCCAGTGTGATCTCTTGTGCCGGACGTTTTGGGGGTGGGTGTGATGCACGTCAAAGTATTCCCCCATCCCTGCCGAGCCCCCACCCCCCAAACCTGGCGTTGTTTCCTTTCCAACCAAAGGATCGGGACTGGGAAATTATCGAGACTTCCAAGGCAAAGGTCGAGCAGTTTAAGAGGACGATGCCCCTGATCTCAGACCTCAGGAACCCGGCCTTGCGGGAGAGGTAGGTCCGGCTCTTCCAAGGGCACCGTCTGCATGCGCATTGCTGGCCCTCTGGAGAGTGGCTGAAAGCTGCTCCTCCGGGGAGGAATATATGGGATACTGCGCCCCAGGGTCTGTCTGTGATGGGGCAGAGTCCCACTGAGGGAATGAATTGTCCTTTGCCTTTCTTAGCTCCTGTTGTCTGAGGAGCTCGCGCACCTTAGCCCAAGAAAGACGTTTCCCAACCCCTCTGTGGCCTGGGTAAATTCGCTGTTCCCGGGAGGCCCAGAGACGAGAAGGGATGTGCCCAAGGTCACAGAGAGTGAGTGGTAGGGTTGGAGAGTCCTGAGAGCATCCCCACCCCCCTCAGACCACACTCCCCTGCCCCAATAGGAAGGAGAACCCAGGAGTCCTAACCTGCTGCTTTAACCATCAGACCCCATTCCTCTCCCACAGCTGGGGAATAGAACGCTGGAGTCCTGACTCCCAATCCCCCTGCTCTAACCGCTAGCCCCCACTCCTCTCCTAGACCTGGGGAGAGAACCTAGGAGTCCTGGCTCCCAGCCCCCCCCAGCTCTAACCCACCAACCCCCACTCCCCTCCCAGAGCTGGGGATAGAACCCAGGAGTCCTGGCTCCCAGCCCCCCCTGCTCTAACCACCAGCCCCCACTCCCCTCCCAGAGTGGTGATTAGAACCCTGGAGCTGGAGCTGCTAGATTGCGTATGACTGTTCCTGGTGTCCTAGCCACATGCTTGGCTCTGGGTGTTGTGCGGCTCAGACATGAAGTATGTTCCCTTGGAGGACTCAGCCAGCACAGCTGGTTTGTTACCACGTGGTTATTGCACCTTCTCGGGAAGTTAAAAGCAAAGGGGCTCGACTCTGACCTCGTTCGTCAGCCCCACACGAACATACGCTCATTAGCGAGCTGGCGGGGGAGAATTCCTCTCCTACCTAACACTGGTGATTCACTGCCCGACACCACGCTTGCACCCAGGGGGAGGTGTGTGGATGTGGGGTGGTGGGAAAGAGGCCGTAGTTGATTGGGAAGGAGGAAGAGCTTATTTTTCCAGTGTCCTGCCGTGCGGCGCCCTTCAAACAAGCCCACACATGAGCGCTGGTTAATAACCCATTGGCCACTGAGCCTGGAGCATCGCCTTCATCCCAGCTTTCGCAGTGGTGCTCCAAATGGCCCTTGGACACCTGGGGGCAGTGCAGCCCACTGCATTCTCTTCTGGTCCACAGAGCTAGCCCCGTCCCTCCCAGCCTCGCTCCCAGGACTGGTTCTGTCGCTCGGCTTTGAATTTCCTCTCACCGGCTTTATCTGGGTGCTGCTGAAGTACCTAGAAATGTATGCAGCCTCCCTTGAGCCCCTCTATCGCCTCACTTTGCTTGTGGGAGTGCATGGGCCGGGCTGGGGGGGCTGTTCCCTGCATGCTCTGGGAACCGAGATCTCTGGGGTTGAAGAGTAGAGAACTCTTCTCCCTTCCTTCTTGCCACTTCCCTGTTCAAGGTTAGCGACATTTATAGCCGTCTTCCAAAGTTGGTGATCATACATCAGTGCAGACTGATCTTTTGAGGTCTGCTGATATCCGGGCCATGCGCCAAGTCTTCGCTTTCCCCCTTGGTTTTCTTCCATCCACAGTCATTGAAAGAGCCGTCCAAGTGATATAGCTCCCCGGTCTCCGCTGAATATGCCCACATCAGTGTAGCCTCGACTCCCTCAACTTCTCTCCAGTTGGAGCAACCCACATTAGGCCCCTTCCAACCTCGTTTCATTTCCTATCCCGGAGCGGCCAACCATTTGACCATCTCAACATCTCTATTTCCGTGGTGGAGAGCGTACTGATTTCCTTTCTTGGGGCTGGCCAAGTCTCTGTACTGAAGGGGTTAGAACTCATCCTGGTGTATCAGCAGAGAGGGCCTGTCCATTCCTTGGTTTAATGCTGTCGGTGGCTTCCCTGCAGGCATTGGGATCAGGTGAAGGACTTGGTCCTCAGGACGTTTGACCAGGATGCTGAAGATTTCAGGCTGGAGAATATTGTGGAGCTTGGCCTGGATCAACACGTGGAGAAAATCAGTGAGATCTCTGCGTCAGCCTCCAAGGAGCTGTCTATCGAGCTGGTAGAGTCTGTCTGTCCCTCTTTCCTCATTCATTTCACAGGCTCCTTTTGAGCAGACGTTGAATGTCTCTGCCCAGATCTTAGCAGGACAGGAGTCCACATCGCAAAACCTACGGTCATATTTGGTACTGATTTGCCAACTATCATCTGGAGCCAGGAGTCCTGACTCCCAGTCACTATTAGATATGTTCCTGCTCGGCGCTTGGAGTAGAACCTAGGAGTCTCAGCTCCCCTCCTTCTCTCTAACTTCCCATCTCAGATCTGGGAATGGAACCCAGGAATCCTGATTCCCCCCCCACCCCGGCACCTCCTTGGCTCTAAGCCACTACCTCCCCTCCCCGAACCAGGAATAGATCCCAGGTTCAGTTCTGACATTAGACGCATGGCCTCTCCTTTCTGACCTTAGCCCCAGTCAATCATAGAATCAGGATTGGAAGGGACCTCAGGAGGTATCTAGTCCAACCCCCTGCTCAAAGCAGGACCAATCCACAATTAAATCATCCAAACGTGGTAAGATTTCCGTGTGTATTTCATGCTGTCCATCCCTGTCTTTCTCCCAGGCCCTGCAAGCCATCGCCAAGACCTGGGATGTCGTGCTGCTAGATATTGTGCCGTACAAGGACAAGGGACACCACCGCCTTAGGTAGGGCTTCCAAAGGTCTGCCGTGCAGCACTGACAGGAGAGACGTGGGGGGCAGGGTTCCTGGGTAGACAAGCAGCTGAGCGTGGCAGGGTGTGGTCTCCTGCTCGTTACCAGGGGGAAAAGCTGGTTTATTTAATTGTTTCTCTGTTTGTCTGAGTACAGATAGATAGACCCTCCTTTGAAAACCTCCTTCCCTTCCCAAAGCTGAGACTAGAATCCTCCCAGCTCCCATTCTGACCACCAGACCAGGCTCCCCTGGTCCTCACAGAGCCCCAGTGTCCTACGCCCAGTCCTCTTGCTCTGACTGCTAGTCTCCACTCCCCTTCCACAGCCTAGCAGTCCTGAGTCCCGGCACTAGCCACTAAGCATGGCTTCCTTTCATTCCAGAAGAACAGAACAGCAGGGCAGGCTGTGGCCTTTAGATTTCCCCTCTGTCTTTCTCACTAACCCAGTTTTATTAGCAGGGAGCGAGTTTGCTGAGGGCGTCCTGACCTCTGCAGTTGCTGGCTGCAGCAGGGATGTCCCTCCGTGATTGGATTAATACCTGGGCGCTGCAGGGCTCGGCGCGTGGCTGGCTTGCTCAGCTCTGTGATGAAAATGTGTTTGTGCCTGAAGGGAGAGAAAGAAACTGGTGTTAGTCTAGGGGGACTAGGAACAAGGGACAGCCAGGGAGTGATCTGGATTGCTGGCAAACAGTGAGTGTTTTAACACAGCCAAATGTCAACTCGTACGGCTAGGACGAAAGAGCGTAGACCAGACTTCCAGGCTGGGGGACTCGCCTGGGAAGCAGGGAAAAGAGGTGGGGGCAGGGAATGGGACACGGGGCCTTTCCCCACTAGGGGGTGCTGGCTCCCATCTGGCCCCAGGGCGGGGGGGACTGGCTGGCCAGATGGGACACGGGGCCTTTCCCCTCTAGGGAAGTGAAAGTTCTTCCTCTCTGATGTGTCTTTTGTGGCCCTGCATGAGATGAGTTTGGGGAGTCATTTGAGGACAGAACTGCCCTCCTACCGGGCCCCATTGTGGGCAGCGTTTGCAGAGAGGCCCTGGGCAGAATGGGCCACGGGCAGCATGCCCCCAAAGGCACATTGGTGGGAGTGCCCCATAGCCGCTCTGCTTGTTGTAAGCCCAGGCCTTTCAGCCTCCCACTGACCTCTTGTTTCTGGCTCCCGCAGGGGGACGGACGAGGTGTTCCAGGCGCTGGAGGATAACCAGGTCTCCCTCTCCACCATGAAGGCCTCGCGCTTCGTCAAGCCCTTTGAGAAGGAGGTGGACCGCTGGGAGCGCTGCCTCTCGCTTATCCTGGAGGTGATCGAGATGGTGCTGACCGTGCAGAGGCAGTGGATGTACCTGGAGGTGAGCAGCCCCCTGCTCAGCATCCCCGAGGGGCCCACACGCAGGGCCAGGCTTCCCCACTAATGATGGGCTGGGCCATTCTCTCTCTCTGGTGCCAATCCCCCACAGAACATCTTCCTGGGAGAAGACATCCGGAAGCAGCTGCCCCAGGAGTCGGCCTCCTTCGATCAGATCAACGCCAGCTGGAAGACCATCATGGACAGACTGAACAAGGATAACAACGCGCTGCGCGGGACGCATTTCCCAGGTAGCTGCTGCTCCCCTTCTCTCCGGACCCCAGCCACAAGTCACCTGCCTCTTCCCACCTTACACTCCGGACCCAGCCTAGGCCCTGTTTCCTGCCACTGAGCCACCTCCGAGAGCAGTGATCTCCTCTCGTCTCTAGCTCCTGAGGGGAGTCTGCTCAGGAGGAGTAGGACTATAAGGTGGCTAGAAAGCTGGCTAGATCGTCGGGCTCAACGGGTAGTGATCAATGGCTCCATGTCTAGTTGGCAGCCGGTATCAAGCCGAGTGCCCCAGGGGTCGGTTCTGGGGCTGGTTTTGTTCAGCATCTTCTTTAATGATCTGGGTGATGGGATGGATTGCACCCTCAGCAAGTTCGCAGATGACACTAAGCTGGGGGCAGAGGTAGATATGCGGGAGGGTAGGGATTGGGTCCAGAGTGACATAGACAAATTGGAGGATTGGGCCAAAAGGAATCTGATGAGGTTCAACAAGGACAAGTGCAGAGTCCTGCACTTAGGACGGAAGAATCCCATTGACTGCTACAGGCTGGGGACCGACTGGCTAAGCAGCAGTTCTGCAGAAAAGGACCTGGGGGTTACAGTGGACGAGAAGCTGGATACGAGTCAGCAGTGTGCCCTTGTTGCCAAGAAGGCCAACGGCATATTGGGCTGTATTAGTAGGAGCATTGCCAGCAGATCGAGGGACGTGATTATTCCCTTCTATTCGGCACTGGTGAGGCCACAACTGGAGTATTGCGTCCAGTTTTGGGCCCCCCACTACAAGAAGGATGTGGACAAACTGGAGAGAGTCCAGCGGAGGGCAACAAAAATGGTTAGCGGACTGGAGCACATGACTTATGAGGAGAGGCTGAGGGAACTGGGGTTATTTAGTCTGCAGAAGAGAAGAGTGAGGGGGAATTTGATAGCTGCTTTCAACTACCTGAAGGGGGGTTCCAAAGAGGATGGAGCTCGGCTGTTCTCAGTGGTACCAGATGACAGAACAAGGAGCAATGGTCTCAAGTTGCAGTGGGGGAGGTCTAGGTTGGATATTAGGAAACACTATGTGTCACGGACTCACAGATCGTGCCCACTCCTGGCCCTGTGCGGTCCGTGGGGGGTGCCTCTTTCAGTGCAACAGCCCTTCTCAGGGGTCCACTCTCTCTTGGGGTCAGGCCCCACCCCCTCCTAGAGCCGCACCTCTCTGAGCCTTAGCATGTCTGTCTCTGACGTGGGCCCCCTCAGGGAGTCCACTCGCTCTGGACCCACCGGGCCTCCACCCCCAAAGGGGTTGATGCGACCCTGTTCTCTAGACCGGAGTGACTCTTAGCCAGCATAAAACAGGAGGATTTATTGAGAGTTGAACACAGCACCGGAAACTCTCAGGGCCTCAGGCCTAGCCTCCCTCAGCCCAGCACATCCCAGTCTCTCTGCATCCAGGTGGGCTCTGCCTGCTCCCCCTCTCCAGCCCAGAGCCCCCCTGCTTCCCAGCTGGGCATCTGAGCTCCCCGGGCCCCAAGCCCCGCCTCTGTCCATTGTCTTCTCTCCAGGTAAACAGGGCCGTAAACTGCGGCCTTCTGTCCTCTGGCTGGAACCGGCTGGTTAGGTCACTGGGTCCTCACTCTGCAGCCCATTGTTCTCCCACTGGCCAGAACCAGCTGCAACTCCTGAGCTGGGTCTCCAGGTCGTCAGGTCACCGGTCGCTGGGGTATCCATCCTCCAGGCCATTGGCTGGGGTCCCACATTCCCTCTCCGGTCCTCTGTAACAACAAACTCCCTCTCCCCTCCCCTCGTTAAACCAGTAACACCTGGGGAAACTGAGTCCCACCCCCTCCGCATGCAAACCATTGAAACCTCACCGAAAACAAGAAAAAACAAGAAAATCCCCCACTTCGTCACACTATTTCACTAGGAGGGTGGTGAAGCACTGGAATGGGTTCCCTAGGGAGGTGGTGGAATCTCCTTCCTTGGAGGTTTTTAAGGCCCGGCTTGACAAAGCCCTGGCTGGGATGATGTAGTTGGGGATTGGTCCTGCTTTGAGCAGGGGGTTGGACTAGATACCTCCTGAGGTCCCTTCCAACCCTGATCTCTATGACTCTATGAGTAACTGGCTCAGAGGCCTCCAAAGGAGATTCAGTGCTGCATGGTGGTGGCTCAGTAGGGGGCACTCTCCCCTCTCAGCCAGCGCTGACCCCAGTGGAGTGCTAGGGCTCTGAGCCCCAGGGAGAGAGGGTGGAGGTGAGGGTCATTCTCCTCTGAGTCAGGGCTGAGCCCAGGTCCCTAGCATGGGGCTTGGTCCCTAGCATGTGCTGCAGGAGCAGGGTGCAGGGCTCCGGAGGGGCCGGCGCTGGTTACACAGAAGAGCGCTTCGTGGAAGCAGCCCCCTTTAAAAGGCTTGATCTTGCTTGTGGCCCCTTTCTCGTCCAAGTGGAAAGCGAGGCCATTGCTTGCAGGATGAAAGGTTGCAGCACCTTGAGGTCTGGGGCTGAGGCTGATCAAACTCACTACACCTAGGGCTGAGGCCGGGAGACAACAGGGTTCCCCCCCTGAAGATCTGCCAGGGTGACTCGGAGCCTCATGGGGGCGAGGAGCGGGGATCAGGGATGGAAGGGGGTGGGTTCAGGGGAACCTGGGGAGCGGAGAGGGCGGGCCAGGACTTGACCTTGCTGCTGAAGGCCAAGGGAGGGACCATGTGACCTGGCTGGGGTGGGGCCAGCAGGAGTCAGGGGTCCCGTGGCGCTTTCCCCCCAGGCCTCCTGGACAAGCTGGTGGAGATGAACAGTGCCCTGGAGGAGATCCAGAAATCCCTGGACATGTACCTGGAGACCAAGCGCCACATCTTCCCCCGCTTCTACTTCCTGTCCAACGACGACCTGCTGGAGATCCTGGGCCAGTCGCGCAATCCCGAGGCCATCCAGCCCCACCTTAAGAAGTGCTTTGACAACATCAAGTCCCTCAAAATCCAGAAGGTCCGGAGTCAGCCCCAGGCCCAACCTCCTCCTGCCCCTGGTCCTTCTCTCCATTCAACCCCGGGGCCTTGGCTAAATCCCAACCTGGGTGGTGCCATCCGGCTTCCCCAAAGCCAGAGAGGGGATTCTCTCTTGTTTAACAATGCGGGGGAGCTGGTAGCAGTCACCATGCACCTCCGCAGAGTGACTGCACCTCAGCACTGAGCGAGGGACCCCTGTATAAACAGCTATCCCAAGAGGTGGCTGCATCTCAGTACCGGAGGAGGGAACCCGTCTAAACAGATTCTGGATTGGGAGGGTGACCTTGTGGTTACAGCAGAAGGGGACAGCTTCTGCCCTGGTACAGCCAGCTGCTAGCCCCTCTGAATTTGAGCCCCCAAACCCCTTCCCCCCCCTTTGGCCCGCCCTCGGGCTCTGATCTTCATGCCCACCTCACCCGGAGCACAGGAGTCCGGGAGGCACTTGGAGATGGTCATGAGTCTTCTCCTCATTTCTCAGGTGGGAATGGGCAACAAGTCCGAAGCCGTGGGCATGTACTCCTTGGACGGGGAGTACGTGGAGTTCGCCCACTCAGTGCTGCTGGAAGGGCCCGTGGAGGTGAGGGCTCTTTGGGCCAGCTCTGGGCGGTGGGAGCTGGGGCTTTGGGTAGCCCAAGCCTGGTTCCTCTGCCCACCCATGCACCAGCCCGTCCTCGGGCACCTCCGTTGGCTCCCCAGCTCTGGTCCGATCCAATTCAAAATCACTCCCACTCCTGGGTCTGCGGCAGCCTTACCACTGCGGGTGCCAGCCCCTCTCCCCTTTCAGACCTCCGCTGTGAAATCCCCTCTGCCCCCCGGCGCCAGGCCCTGGGTCGGTGGCGCCTGCTTTGCGAGGGAGATGAAGTTAGTGCAAAGGAATCGGGTTGCATTGCCCTGAAGAGGGGGCAGGGGGAACCCCCCTAGACGTCCCCTCAGCCCCTCGTCTGCCTCCCTCCCAGGAGTGGCTGTGTGACGTGGAGCGGGCCATGCGCCTGACCCTGAAGGAGCTGCTGAGGAACTGCCGCCTGGCCCTGAAGAAGATGCTGACGAAAAGGGACAAGTGGGTGAAGGAGTGGGCCGGACAGGTGACTGCTGCGCCTCCAGGGCACGGGGGGCCGCGGCTCGGCCAGCAGCTCGGGATGGCCTCTGGGCCACAGGGACTGGCCTTACAGCCTGATCCAGCTCCACTGAAGTCAGTGGGAGTCTTTCTATTGCCGTGGGTTGGATCAGGCCTTTGGTACACTCAGGTCATACGTGAAATGAGTTTGGTGAGCCTCAGTTGAACACGGGGAGGAGGGTTCAGAATTTAGAGTAGAGGATTGAGTGTCAGGACTCCTGGGTTCTCTCCCCGGCTCTGGGGAGTGGGTCCTAGCCATCAGAGCAGGCACTAGGGAATTAGAACTCCGGGCTCCGTACCCTGGATTTCATTCTGCCAGAGCTGGGAAAGTCACTTTCCCGGCGTGCGTCTAAGTATTCCCCCGCGTAAAAGGGATCCAGTGACCCTGACCCCCCTGGGTAAAGTGCTTAGAGCCCCTAGGCTGGGGGGAAGGCACTCCTAAGTGATCAGGCCGGGCGGAGGAAGAGGGACGTGGGGCCCAGGACGAATGGTCATTTCTAGGATTAGGGTATTGGAGGTCTATGGGCAGGGGGCTCCCCAGAATTGAGCTCGGGGCTGGGGAAGAGGGGATTTGCCAGTGCCCCTCCCTCCACCCCACTCCTCGTCTCTTGCAGATGGTGATCACTGCCAGCCAGATCCAGTGGACGATGGACGTCACCAAGTGCCTGGCCAACTGCAAGGAGCGAGGTGACAAGAAATTCCTCAAGGTCATGAAGAAGAAGCAGGTGAAGGGGAGAGCGCGGCACTAGCCATGCGCGCATTCGCACACCGTCACTGGCCCTCCCAGGCACGCTCACGTGCTCGCACACGTGTACACTGCTCACTACTCCACGCCCTCGCATATGTCTGATCACTGGCTGTTTCCTCGCTAGGTGTCCCTGCTGAATAAATACTCGGAGGCCATCCGGGGCAGCCTGACCAAGATCATGCGCCTGAAGATCGTCGCGCTGGTGACGGTGGAAATCCATGCACGGGACGTCATAGAAAAGCTCTACAAGAGCAGCTTGATAGACGTGACGTCCTTCGAGTGGCTAAGTCAGCTCCGCCTCTACTGGGACAAGGTGAGGATGGACTGGCCTCTGAGCGAGTGGGGCCCACACTGCCCCCTGCTGGCTGGATGTGTGTATGTGGGGCTAGTTCTGTCGCCCCCCTGTGGGGCAGAATCAGTCCTAGCTACATGCCCTCGTCTGCATCACTGCCCCCTGCTGTTCCACCTCAGCAGCTGCACTGAGCAGAGGGGAAGATGTTGCCTCCAACGTTCCTGTAATTCCCGGCAGTTTGCTGTCCTGCTTGGGCCGTTAGCCACCTCTCTCCTCCTTGCTCTCGCCAGCTGCCTCAGCCACCGGCTCTGTTTCACCCCCTCCCTTTCCCTATGGGCTGCCCCCGGTGTCCATTGCCAGGGACGGGGTCCAATATACAATCATAGAAACATAGAATATCAGGGTTGGAGGAGAACTCAGGAGGTATCTAGTCCAACCCCCTGCTCAGAGCAGGACCAATCACCAGCTAATTCATCCCAGCCAGGGCTTTGTCAAGCCAGGCCTTAAAAACCTCCAAGGATGGAGATTCCACCACCTCCCTAGGGAACCCATTCCAGTGCTTCACCACCCTCCTAGTGAAATAGTGTTTCCTAATATCCAACCTAGACCTCCCCAACTGCAACTTGAGACCATTGCTCCTTGTTCTGTCATCTGGTACCACTGAGATCAGCCGAGCTCCATCCTCTTTGGAACCCCCCTTCGGGTAGTTGAAGGCTGCTATCAAATCCCCCCTCATTCTTCTCTTCTGCAGACTAAACAATCCCAGTTCTTCTTCGAGTGCTTGCTCATATCGATTCCAATTAGGTGTGCGCGCGCCGTGTGCACTACCGTCGGAGAATTTTCTACCCTAGCAACTCCCGGTGGGTCGGCTGTGGAGCCCCCTGGAGTGGCGCCTTCATGGCGCTGGATATATACCCCAGCCGACCCAGCGCCCCCTCAGTTCATTCTTACCGCTCGTGACGGTCGTTGGAACTGTGGAGCGCGGCATAGCTGTTCTCCACTCTCCCTAGCTTTACTTGTTAGTTCTTGTAGATAGTTGTTGGTTATATACTTATATATAAGTAGTTTGTTGTTAATAGTTTTGTAGAGTAGTTATAAATAGTTAGCGGGGGTTAAGGGGGCTTTTATCCCCCCTTTCCCCCCCGGCGCGCAGCCGGGCTCATGCCCAAGGCTCTTGGCTTTAAGCCGTGCGCGACCTGTGCTAAGCCTATGCCAATGGGAGACCCTCACGACTCTTGTCTGAAGTGTCTAGGGGAGTCTCACCAGACGGACAAGTGCAAGATCTGCAAGGCTTTCAGGTCCAGGACCAAAAAGGAGCAGATGAGGCGGTGGCGGGCACAACAACCTCAGGCCCACCTCCAATAGACCTCCGTGCCCACCAAGACCTGTTACGTAGGGTGGCACGGAACATGGACCTACAGGCAGAGGAGATAGTGGAGGTGGAGGACCCGGTGGTGAGCATCCTCTCAGCTGATGCCCCATCCCGGGTGGCGTTGCTCATTATTCGTACGATCCAGGCTAATGCTAATGCCATATGGCAAACCCCGGCCTCCATCCCTCCCACTGCCAGAGGTGTAGAGAGGAAGTACTTTGTCCCCTCTAAAGACCATGAGTACCTCTATACACACCCTCCGCCGTGTTCACTAGTAGTCTCCTCAGTGAACGCAAGAGAGCGTCATGGTCAGCAGGCAGCAGCGCCCAAATCGAAGGACGCAAAATGCTTTGATTTGTTTGGACGTAAGGTTTACTCAGCGGGGGGTCTGCAGCTCAGAGCCGCAAACCAACAGGCGCTCTTGAGTCGGTACAATTACAACTCATGGAATTCCATGGGTAAATTTAAAGAGTTGGTCCCCCAGGACTCGAGAGAGGAGTTCGGGGCCCTAGCGAAGGAAGGTAAAAAGGTGGCTAGGACCTCCTTGCAGGCCTCCCTGGACATAGCGGACTCTGCCGCCAGGACACTAGCGTCTGGGATAGCCATGAGACGCGTCTCCTGACCCCAGGTTTCGGGGTTACCGCCAGAACTGCAGCAGACCCTGCAAGATCTGCCGTTCGAGGGCCAGGGGTTGTTCTCGGACAATACGGACTCTCGGTTGCAGAGCCTCAAGGACTCCGGAACCATCATGCGCTCCCTGGGGATGCATGTCCCAGGACCCCAGCGCAGGCCCTTTAGGCCCCAGCCACAAAGGTTCTACCCTCCTCCTCCTCGTCCAAGACAGGACTTCCCCAGAAGGCGGGGGCGAGGTGGTAGACGGAGGTCCACTGGCCCCCACCCCGGTCAGAACCAAGGCCCTCCTAGATCACCTTCAGGACCTAGACAAAATTTTTGAAGGTGCGGTCGAGGACGGCGTGCTAGCCACTACCCAGGATCCATTCCCTTTATTTTGGGATCGCCTCTCCCGTTTCCACTGTGCTTGGTCCCTTATAACCTCGGACCGTTGGGTCCTTCGCACGGTAGAGAGGTGATACGCTCTCCAGTTTTCTTCATTCCCCCCCCCCCGTCCCTCTTCAGGGACCCTTCTCACAAGCATCTCCTTACACAGGAGGTTTTTTGGGCTCCTCTCTATGGGGGCCATAGGGGAGGTTCCGTCAGAGATAACGGGCAGGGGGTTTTACTCCCGCTACTTCCTGATCCCCAAAACAAAAGGGGGTCTGCGACCCATTCTAGACTTACGTGGACTCAACAAATTCATAGTAAAGTTGAAATTCTGCATGGTCTCCTTGGGGACCATCATCCCTTCCCTGGATCCTGGAGACTGGTACGCCGCCCTCAACATGAAGGACGCATATTTTCATATATCAATCTACCTCCCACACAGGCGCTTCCTTCGATTTGTAGTAAACAATGTGCACTACCCCAATTTGCCGTCCTTCCCTTCGGCTTGTCCACGGCTCCAAGAGTGTTCACCAAATGTATGGCTGTCGTGGCAGCATACCTTTGTCGACAGAGGATACAGGTGTTCCCGTATCTAGACGACTGGCTGGTGCACGGCCACACCAGGGAGCAAGTTCAAGCTCACGTCCAGATAACACTGCAAACATTCCACGAGTTAGGCATTTTACTCAACAAAGAAAAGTTCACTCTGGAGCCAACCCAGAGAATAGAGTTTATTGGGGCAGTCTTAGACTCCAGACTCGCCCGAGCTCTTCTGCCAGACACTCGGTTTCACACCATCACAAACATCATCCACGGACTCCAGGTCTTCCCGATCACCACGATAAGGACATGCCTCGGCCTGTTGGGACACATGGCCTCTTGCACTTACGTAACCAGGCATGCCAGACTTCGGCTTTGTCCACTTCAGGGCTGGGTATCATCGGTGTACCATCCTTATCGGGACAACCTGAACATGGTGGTCACGGTTCCAAACTCGGTCTTGACCTCTCTCACCTGGTGGCTGGACCACAAGGTGGTTTGCGCAGGAGTGTCATTTCACGCCCCACAACCCTCCCTGCACCTGGTCACGGATGCTTCATCTCTAGGTTGGGGCGCTCACCTCGGGGAGCACCATGCACAGGGCCTGTGGACCGCATCCCAATTAGCTCTGCACATCAATGTCCGAGAGCTGATGGCGGTGCGCCTAGCCTGTCAGGCATTTCTCGGTCTCCTACATGGTCGTTGCATGTCAGTCTTCACAGACAACACCACGACCATGTTCTACATCAACAAGCAAGGAGGAGCCCGGTCGTCTCTCCTATGCCAAGAGGCCATTCGCCTGTGGGAGTTCTGCATTGCCCACTCGATACATCTCATGGCATCGTTCCTCCCTGGAGTCCAGAACACTCTAGCGGACCGTCTCAGTATATCCTTCCAGACGCACGAGTGGTCAATTCGCCCGGATATCATCCATTCCATCTTCCAGAGGTGGGGATTTCCCCAGGTCGACCTGTTCGCCGCACGAGCCAACAGGAAGTGCCACTTGGTCTGCTCCCTCCAAGGGCGATCTCTGGGCTCCCTGTCGGACGCTTTCCTGCTATCGTGGAAATACCAGCTGTTCTACGCTTTTCCTCCATTCCCACTGGTCCACAGGGTACTGCTCAAGCTACGCAAAGACAAGGCACGTATGATTCTAGTCGCTCCAGCTTGACCAAGACAGCACTGGTACACCACGCTTCTGGAGCTATTGGTACAAATTCCGATCACGCTTCCCTTGTGCCCGGACTTGATCTCTCAGGACCACAGCTGACTTTGTCACCCCGACCTGCAATCGCTCCACCTTACAGCGTGGATGCTCCATAGCTGAATCGGACAGAGCTACAATGCTCACATCCCATGCAACAGATTCTGCTGGGAAGTAGAAAGCCCTCTACACGGACCACTTACTTAGCCAAGTGGAAGCGTTTCTCCTGTTGGTGCGAGCAGCGAGCCACACCCCCCCTTGCAGGCGTCAATTCCACTTATACTTGAATATCTCCTATCCCTAAAACAGCAGGGCTTGGCGATATCTTCGGTCAGGGTTCACCTGGCTGCTATATCGGTGTTCCACCCAGGAGAGCTCGCTTCCTCGGTCTTCTCTAACCCGATGGTCGTCAGATTCCTCAAGGGCTTAGACCGTCTATACCCACAGCAACGTCAACCGGTTCTGGCGTGGGATCTTAACCTGGTTCTCTCCAAGCTCACAGGGCCCCCGTTCAAGCCATTGGCTACCTGCTCACTCCTTTACCTATCTTGGAAGACAGCCTTCCTTGTAGCCATCACTTCAGCAAGGCGTGTTTCTGAAATCAGGGCGCTCACGTCTGAGCCTCCATACACAGTCTTCCATAAAGACAAGGTGCAGCTTCGCCCCCACCCTGCCTTTCTTCCCAAGGTGGTATCAGCTTTTCATATGAACCAGGATATATTTCTCCCGGTCTTCCATCTTAAGCTGCACGCCACCCATCAAGACCAGTGTATGCACTCCTTGGACGTACGCAGGGCCCTTGCGTTCTATATTGAGCGTACGAAGCTGTTTACGAAGACGACGCAACTCTTTGTTGCAGTGGCTGACCGGATGAAAGGCTTACCGGTCTCCTCACAGTGCCTGTCCTCTTGGATCACGTCCTGCATTCGTGCTTGCTACGACCTGGCTGGTGCCCCGACGCCGCGCCTCACCGCCCACTCCACGAGGGCCCAGGCCTCCTCAACTGCCTTCCTGGCTCATGTCCCGATCCAGGACATTTGTAGAGCAGCGGTTTGGTCATCGGTCCACACCTTCGCCACTCACTATGCGCTTGTACAGCAGTCTAGAGATGATGCTGCATTCAGATTAGCAGTTCTGCACTCAGCAATGTCTCACTCCAACCCCACCGCCTAGGTAAGGCTTGGGAGTCACTTAATTGGAATCGATATGAGCAAGCACTCGAAGAAGAAAAAACGGTTACTCACCTTTGTAACTGTTGTTCTTCGAGATGTGTTGCTCATATCCATTCCAAACCCGCCCCCCTTCCCCACTGTCGGAGTAGCCGGTAAGAAGGAACTGAGGAGGCGCTGGGTCGGCTGGGGTATATATCCAGGGCCTTGAAGGTGCCACTCCAGGGGGCTCCACACCCGACCCACCGGGTGTTGCTAGGGTAGAAAATTCTCCGACGCTCGTGCACGCAGCGCGCGCACACCTAATTGGAATGGATATGAGCAACACATATTGAAGAACAACAGTTACAAAGGTAAGTAACCGTTTTTTCCCTCAGCCTCTCCTTGTAAGTCATGTGCCCCAATCCCCTAATCTTTTTTGTTGCCCTCCTCTGGACTCTCTCCACTTTGTCCACATCCCTTCTGTAGTGGGGGGCCCAAAACTGGACACAGTACTCTAGGTGTGGCCTCACCAGTGCCGAATAGAGGGGAATGATCACGTCCCTCGATCTGCTGGCAATGCACCTACTTATACAGCCCAAAATGCCGTTAGCCTTCTTGGCAACAAGGGCACACTGCTGACTCATATCCAGCTTCTCATCCACTGTAACCCCCAGGTCCTTTTCTGCAGAACTGCCACTTAGCCATTCGGTCCCCAGTCTGTAGCAGTGCATGGGATTCTTCCATCCTAAGTGCAGGACTCTGCACTTGTCCTTGTTGAACCTCATCAGATTTCTTTTGGCCCAATCCTCCAATTTGTCTAGGTCCCTCTGGACCCAATCCCTACCCTCCCGCATATCTACCTCTGCCCCCAGCTTAGTGTCATCCGCAAACTTGCTGAGGGTGCAATCCATCCCATCATCCACAGATTAATGAAGATATTGAACAAAACCGGCCTCAGGACCGATTCCTGGGGCACTCCGCTTGATACCGGCTGCCAACTAGATATCGAGCCATTGATCACTACTTGTTGAGCCCGACAGTCTAGCCAGCTTTCTATCCACCTTACAGTCCATTCATCCAGCCCATACTTCTTTAACTTGGTGGCAAGAATACTGTGGGAGACCGTATCAAAAGCTTTGCTAAAGTCAAGGTGTACCACATCCACTGCTTTCCCCTCATCCACAGAGCCAGTTATCTCCTCATAGAAGGCAATCGGGTTGGTCAGGCATGACTTGCCCTTGGTGAATCCATGTTGACTGTTCCTGATCACCTTCCTTTCCTCCAAGTGTTTCAAAATGGATTCCTTGAGGACCTGCTCCATGATTTTCCGGGGACTGAGGTGAGGCTGACCGGTCTGTAGTTGCCCGGATTCTCCTTCTTCCCTTTTTAAAACATGAGCACTATATTTGCCCTTTTCCAGTCGTCCGGGACCTCCCCCGATCGCCACAAGTTTTCAGAGCTAATGGCCAATGGCTCTGCAATCACATCAGCCAACTCCCTCAGCACCCTTGGATGCAGCGCATCTGGCCCCATTGGACTTGTGCATGTCCAGCTTTCTAAATAGCCCTTAACCTCTTCTTTCACCACTGAGGCTGCTCACCTCCTCCCCATGCTGTGTTGCCCAGCGCAGCAGTCTGGGAGCTGCCTTTGTCTGTGAAGACCGGGGCCAAAAGAGCATTGAGTACTTCAGCTTTTTCCACATCATCTGTCATTAGGTGGCCTCCCCCATTCAGTAAGGGTCCCACACTTTCCCTGACCTTCTTCTTGTTGCTAACGTATCTGTAGAAACCCTTCTTGTTACCCTTCACATCCCTTGCTAGCTGCAACTCCAGTTGTGCTGTGGCCTTCCTGATTACACCCCTGAATGCTCGAGCAATATTTTTATACTCCTCCCTAGTCATCTGTCCAAGTTTCCACTTCTTGTAAGCTTCCTTTTTTGTGTTTAAGCTCACCGAAGATTTCTCTGTTAAGCCAAGCTGGTCACCTGCCATATTTAGTATTCTTTCTGCACATTGGCATGGTTTGTTCCTGTGCCCTCGATAAAGCTTCTTTAAAATACAGCCAGCTCTCCTGGACTCCTTGCCCCCTCATATTAGCCTCCCAGGATATCCTGCCCATCAGTTCCCGGAGGGAGTCCAAGACTGCTTTTCTGAAGTCCAGAGTCCGTATTCTGCTACTTTTGTCAGGACCCTGAACTCGACCATTTCATGGTCACTGCTGCCCAGGTTGCCACCCACTTCTACTTTCCCTACCAATTCTTCCCTGTTTGTGAGCAGCAGATCAAGAGGAGAATGGCCCCTAGTTGGTTCCTCCAGCACTTGAACCAGGAAGTTGTCCCCAACACTCTCCAAAAACTTACTGGATTGTCTGTATTGCTCTCCCAGCAGATGTCAGGGGGATTGAAGTCCCCCATGAGAACCAGGGCCTCTCATCTGGAAACTTCAGTTAGTTGTTTGAAGAAAGCCTCGTCTACTTCCTCCTCCTGGTCTGATGATCTATAGCAGACATTCACCATGACATCACCCTTGTTGCTCTCGCCTCTAAACTTAACCCAAAGACTCTCAACGGGTTTTTCTCCAGTTTCATACTGGAGCTCTGAGCAATCATACAGTGCAACTCCTCCACCTTTTCTCCCCCGCCTGTCCTTCCTGAACAGTTTCTACCCATCCATGACAGTGCTCCGGTCATGTGAGTTACCCCACCAAGTCTGTTCTTCCAGTCACATCATAGCTCCTTGACTGTGCCAGGACGTCCAATTCTTCCTGCTTGTTTCCCAGGCCTCGTGCATTCGTGTACAGGCACCTAAGCTAACTAGCCAATTGCCCTGCTTTCTTGGTATGAATCAGGAGGCCTCCCTTGTTGCACCCTCCTCCTTGCGTTTCCTCCTGATATCCCACTTCCCTCCAGGCTTAGGTCACCATCCCCGGTGACCCTAGTTTAAAGCCCTCCTCACAAGGTTAGCCAGCCTGCCGGCGAAGATGCTCTTCCCTCTCTTCGTTAGGTGGATCCCATCTCTTCCTAGCAATCCTTCTTCCTGGAACAACATCCCGTGGTCGAAGAATCCAAAGCCCTCTCTCCGACACCACCTGCATAACCACGCATTTACCTCCACAATTCGATGGTCCCTACTTGGGCCTTTTCCTTCACCAGGGAGTACCTGGTGGGAGCTCCATTGCTTGAGACAGAGTCCCCGGGACTAGTACTGCCCAACTCCGGGTCCCTGTGGAGCTCTCTGCCATGTCCGGTGCTCCCCCAGCCCTGCTCCCTGCTTTTCATTGCTCCTTTGAGGTGGCAGCGCGGCCCAGTGGGCTCAGCACGGGATGTGGAGCTGGGAACTCCGCAGCTTCACCTCCACCTGGCCTCGGCCAAGCCCCTTTTCCAGCTGTGCCTCCTTTTCTCCCCAGCAATATGACCCACCTCCCCGGGTGGGGGCGGTCAGAGGGCTAACGGGTTTGTGTCTGCAGAGTGCCAGGGTACAGCAGGAGAGGGGATGAACCTGACCTCATGGGCTGCCGGATGGATTCCCCTGGGACCTGCACAGCCATCCTCTCTGCAGTCTGATGAGTCTCTCCCTTGGTGCCTGCTTGCCCTCTGTCACGGGAGCCCCATGGGCAGGTGTGGGAGTCCAGAGGCCTGGCTCTACTTCCCCCACATTTCCCTCGGCAGGATCTGGACGACTGTGTCATCAGGCAAACCAACACCCAGTTCCCCTACGGCTACGAGTACCTGGGGAACTCCGGACGCTTGGTCATCACGCCGCTCACCGACAGGTACAGGCACGGTGTGCCCAGCCCCTGCCGCTGCAGGGCGGTCGGCAACCCCCCAGGGCACGCTGGGAGTTCAGGGGGATCACAAGAGGCACCTAGAGCTCGTTGGCTAAGTTAAGGTGATCGCTTGATCCCTGACAGTGAAGCTGATGAGGCCGCGTGCTTTGAGATCTCCTGAAGAAAGTGCCACAGGAGAGCTAGGGACTAACTGCTGAGCTTATCATAGAATATCAGGGTTGGAAGGGACCTCAGGAGGTATCTAGTTCAATCCCGTCAAAGCAGGACCAATCCTCAGACAGATTTTTGCCCCAGGTCCCTAAATGGCCCCCTCAAGGATTGAACTCACAACCCTGGGTTTAGCAGGCCAATGCTCCAACCACTGAGCTATCCCTCCCCCCTTTTTTGGCTTCATGATGGCTTCAGCTGAGGTCTGTTTCCGAGGCAGAGGGGCTGGATGGGCAGGAGAAGAGCAGAGTGGACATCAGAGTGAGGGAGAGAGGAGATCCCAGTGGCGGATGGCCTGTGGGCGGGCTGGGGAAAGCAGGGAGATTGATGTGTGATCTCCCCTCTCTCTTTTCAGGTGCTACATCACTCTGACCACAGCCCTCCACCTCCACCGGGGAGGGTCTCCCAAAGGCCCTGCCGGCACAGGGAAAACGGAGACTGTGAAAGACCTGGGCAAAGCCCTGGGCATGTATGTGATTGTAGTGAACTGCTCTGAAGGCCTGGACTATAAATCCATGGGGCGCATGTACTCGGGCCTGGCTCAGGTAAGGGGTCAGGCCACTGCACTGGCTCCAGAGCCCATGGGTGCTTCCCAGGGCTGGGACTCCCAGACCCACTCCCCTCCCAGAGCTGGGGACAGAACCCAGGAGCTCTGGCTGCTGGCCCCCCATGTTGTAACTATTAGACCCCACTCCCTCTCCGGGGCAGGGTGTGAATGGGGGGATCTGTGCGCTGCAGCTCCACCCCCACCTTTCTGCTCTCGTCCCACAGACAGGAGCCTGGGGCTGCTTTGACGAGTTCAACCGCATCAACATTGAGGTGCTGTCTGTGGTGGCCCAGCAGATCCTCTCCATTCTCTCTGCCTTGGCCGCCAACATGACCTCCTTCATCTTTGAGGGCCATAAGATCAAGCTGGTGTGGTCCTGTGGCATCTTCATCACTATGAACCCAGGTAGGAGACACGGGCGTGCCCACGGAAAGGTCTCTCTCGCTGGCGGAGTCACTGGCTTGGGTGTGGCAGGCCCCTTCCCCATTCAGAGTTCAGATGGGCACCACACGGCCACTAGGGAACAACACAAGACCAGCCCGTCCCTATGCAGGGGCCTCGGCTCAGAGTCCCAGGCCTGGGGTCGGGGTAAAGGGAGCGGGGCGGAGATGGCAGGTGGCCAGGGCTAACGTGCTGCTGGGTGCCATGAGGCAGGTTACGCCGGACGCACAGAGCTGCCCGACAACCTCAAGTCCATGTTCCGACCCATCTCCATGGTGGTGCCGGACTCCACGCTCATCGCAGAGATCATCCTCTTCGGAGAAGGGTTCAGCAACTGTAAGGTACTTGCGGGCCTGGGGCCGCCGGGTCTCAGAGAGTCGCCCTCGGGAGCGCTTGTGGCCTGGTCAGTGGGTCCACTCCCTGCCGGGCTCAGAGAATGGGACATGGGGCCTTTCCCGTGTGGGTGGCGCGGGCTCCCATCTGGCCCCAAGATTGGGGGACCAGCTGGCCAGGGTGAGGGGGTTTCTGCTCTTGGGGGTGCTGGCTCTGGTATGGCCCCAGGTTGGAGCCGTGGTTGTTAGAAGAGGGTCAGGGGACGGCAGCCTGGGGTGAGGTGGGGGTTCCCGGGGCTCTTAGCGAGATGCCCCCTCCGAAGCCTGGTGCCCCAGTCCCCCGAAATGGAGCCAGTGTGCCCCAGGCTACCCCGCTCCCCGCTGACGGGCTCCGCTCTGTCCCAGCTCCTGGCTAAGAAGGTCTACACCCTGTACTCGCTGGCAGTGCAGCAGCTGTCCAAGCAGGACCACTACGACTTTGGCCTGCGGGCGCTGACGTCACTGCTCCGCTATGCCGGGAAGAAGCGCAGGGTGCACCCCGACATCATCGACGAAGAGGTGAGGTGCCCCCGGGATCCTGCGTCCATGCCAGGCGGTGTCGGGCTGGAGGGGAGTTTTGCTGGCGTTTTGGCCATGTGGCACGACGCAGTCAGTGTGCCAGCCGGATCCCCAGTACCCCAAGGGTGCCCGGCTCCCCTGGCTCTCCTGGTGGCACGGGCAGTGCTGGAGGGGAGTTTTGCCGGCGGTTTGGCTGTGTGGAGCAACGCAGTCAGTGTGCCAGCCGGATCCCCGGCACCCGAGGGTGCCCGGCTTACCTGGCTCTCCTGGTGGCTTTCAGATCCTCCTGATGGCCATGAAGGACATGAATATCGCCAAGCTCGCCTCGGTCGACGTGCCCCTCTTCAACGGCATTGTCCAGGACCTCTTCCCGGGCATCGAGTCGCCGGCCATTGATTACGGGAAGGTCAGCTAACCGGCCCGGCCACTCAGCTGGGCTCCTTCCCCCGGGGCTGGAGCCAAGGAGCCAAGTGAGACGGAGCTCAGCGCCCTCTAGTGCCAATAGGCTGCACTGCCGAGGCACTTCCTTCCAGAGAGCAGGAGACAGGGAGCTCGGAGTCCTTGGTTTTGTTCCCAGCTCGGGGAGGGGAGCAGGGTGTAGAGGTTAGAGCGGGGGGGCCGGGAGCCAGGACTCCTAGGTTCTCTCCCTGGCTCTGGGAGGGGAGTGGGGGCTGGTGGATGAGAGCAGGGAGCCAGGACTACTGGGTTCTCTCCCCGGCTCGGGGAGGGGAGTGGGGGCTGGTGGGTCAGAGCAGGGAGGCTGGGGGGCCAGGACTCCTGGGTTCTCGCTTGGTTCTGGGAGGGGAGCAGGGTCGAGGGGTTAGAGCAGGGGGGGCTGGAGGCTAGGACTCCTGGGTTCTCTCCTGGTTCTGGGAGGGGAGCGGGGTCTTGGGGGCATGCCCAGCGAGCTCAGGCCAGGCGTGGAGTGGGCTGCTCCAGGCTCTGCCTTGGGCCATGCCCCGTCCCGGGCTCCCCGCTGTATGGCTGGGGCCCGTCACCCCAGGCCCGGCCCTGTCTCTGCAGCTGAAGGAAGCCATCGAGCTGGAGCTGAAGGGGATGGGGCTGCAGGTGATCCCCTTCACCATCACCAAGGTTATCCAGCTCTACGAGACCAAGAACTCCCGCCACTCCACCATGATCGTGGGCAACACGGGCAGTGGCAAGACGGTCACCTGGCGCACCCTGCAGGCCACCATGTCCACCCTGTGCCGGAGTGGGGACGCCGCCTACAACCTCGTCCGGGTCAGTGGGCGCTGCTGGGGCCGGGACTGGGGCCTGCACCGCCTGTGGGTGGGGGGCTGGGGCCATCTCCAGGGGGCACAGACTGCCCTGGCGCCGGGGGGGTGGGTGGGGAGGAGGCTGGGATCCGGGGCTGGGATCCGGGGCTGGGCTGGGCGGGGGTCCCTGGCTTCCCGCCCCGGTAATGTCCATGTGCTTCTCTCTCCTCCGGCGGGCACTGGCACCGGCAGGAATTCCCCCTGAACCCCAAGGCTGTGTCCCTGGGCGAGCTGTATGGAGAGTACGACCTCAGCACCGGCGAGTGGACAGATGGCATCCTGTCCAGCGTCATGAGGGCAGCCTGCGCAGGTACCCACGGCCGCCAGGGCCAGGACCAGGAGTGAACTGCAGCCAGAGATGGGGGCAGGGCACAGCCCATAGGAGTGGGGGGGGCATGGCCAGGGGCAGGGCACGGCTTATAGGACTGGGTGGGGGGATGTGCCCGCGGGCAGGGCACAGCCGATAGGACTGGGCAGAGGGGTGGCTGCTCCCAGCCTGGCTTGGTGGCTTTGCCAAACCCCCGTGTACTGCTTTCTGCTCCTCACTCTGGCTTGTCTGTTCCAATCTCTCCGCTGGCCTGCCCCTCTCTGGGAGACTGGCCGTGCCCGGGTGCTGGGGTGCCCCCAGAGCGTGCCGGCCAGTGCCGCCGGTTGGCACCAGCATTCCGCAAACAGCGCCGGGAGGGGAGGTGCTCTCAGCCGTGCACCATGCTGCAGCTGCATGCCGCGGGGAGCTGTGCCCCGGGCCCGGCGTGCTGCGCTGCGTGGGCACCAGATGCCAGGCCGTACCCACCAGCGCCGCGTGGGGGAGCCCCTGCCGTGCGTGGCTGCTCAGCGACCTGCAGTCTCATGGCTTGTGGCCGGGTCTCCCCACGGGAGCCCAGGAGATTCGGTTTGCACGCCGGAGGGGGTGGCGTGTGCGTGCCAGGCTGCGGTGGCATGTGAGAGAGTTCTGCCATTACTAGGAGAAGGGGAAGGGGGCGGGCCTCGGCCTGACCCCAATATCGCTGGTAATTCAGGATGACAGCGAGGTGACAGGCGGCGGGAGCTGCCAGGGGGACTGGCTGGCTCAGCGCCGGGGAAGGGGGATGGGGCTGGTGCCCGCCAGGGGTCTGGTTCCAGTTCACACGTGATGCCCAGGCGAGGTGCCACTGAGTCTCGGTTCATGTGGCAGTGTGTGTGTGCCCTTCCTGACCCCAGCCCCTATTAGCCCAGCCCTGCCCCCCCAGCTCTGCAGGTGCCCCTCACTCCCGACCCGCAGCCCCTGCCAGCCCAGCCCTGCCCCCCCCCCACGCTCTGCCGGTGCACCTCACTCCCGACCGCAGCCCCCGTTCCATCCCTGAATGGCACATGCACATCTCCATTTCATCTCCTGTCCCAGCACCTGGCGCTGCGGTCAGAGGCCTGAGGGCACCTTGAGGGCAGTGGGAGCGGATTGGGGGGAGCAGAGAGGGCTGGGAGGCAAAGCTTTGGGGCAAGGGTGGGGAGCTCCCCGTGCCGCTCCTCCCAGAGTGCTAAGGGGGCTTCCCCTGCTCGCCCGGTCCCACTAGACGAGAAGCCCGATGAGAAGTGGATCCTGTTTGACGGGCCGGTGGACACCCTGTGGATTGAGAGCATGAACTCGGTCATGGATGACAACAAAGTCTTGACCCTGATCAACGGGGAGCGGATCTCCTTGCCCGAGCAGGCAAGTCCCCCCGGGGGCAGCTCTGAGCACCGGGGCCGGGGCCAGGAAGGCCGCTCGCTGCCCCGACTGATCCTGTCCCTTCTCTAGGTCTCGCTGCTCTTCGAGGTGGAAAACCTAGCGGTGGCCTCGCCCGCCACCGTCTCCCGCTGCGGGATGGTTTACACGGACTACAGCGACCTGGGCTGGAAACCCTACGTCCACTCCTGGATCGAGAAGCGCCCCAAGGTCCTCGGGAGTGTGGAGGGAATGGGACAGGGGTGCAGTGCAGCACTAGGGGTGGTGGAGTTGGGCCGAGGGGCACTGACAGAGCCGGGGGTGTGAGCCCAGCGCTGGAGCTGCGGGTTGGGAGTGAGGGGGAGCCCAGGGCTGGAGCTGGGGGAGGGGCTGCAGGTTGGGTGTGGTGGGGGGCCCAGGAGTGGAATAGCCCAAACCGGCCATGCGGGAGCTTTGCTCTGGGCCCCTCACTCCTCAGGGGGAGACGGAAGCTCTGCAGCGGATGTTTGACAAGTTCATCGACAAGATGCTGACCTTCAAGAAGGAAAACTGCGAGGAGCTGGTCCCCATCCCCGAGTACAGTGGGATCGTGTCACTCTGCAAGCTCTTCTCTGCTTTGGCCACCCCAGAGAACGGGGTAGGTAGTGGGCGGGAGCCCGCCCTTGCGCTCTCATTGGCTGCCTTTCCGCCTGTCGCTACCATTGCTCAGAGCACTGGCGGGCTCCTTTGCACCCCTGGTACCCCTTGGTGTGTGTCTGGGCATGGTAATCAGCATGAGCTTCACTCCTTGACTGTGTTTCCATTGGCGTAAACCAGGAGTGACTCTGCTTAAGTCAACAGAGGTACCCAGCTGTGGGAACTGGGAAGCCGGCCCTTCGGAATCCAGAGCAGAGGGTTTCTGTAGCAGTTTGGTTTAAGAATCATCCCTAGTAGCTAGCGCTCTGGCACCCCCTTGTTTCTCAGCCTCTCCGTGTTCTCGTCCCCCTGACTGCCGGGGCAATACATTCATGGAGGTTAAGTCCATTAATGGCTATTAGCCAGGCCTCTGTTTGTCAGAGGGTGGAGATGGATGGCAGGAGAGAGATCACGTGATCATTACCTGTTAGGTTCACTCCCTCTGGGGCACCTGGCATTGGCCACTGTCAGAAGCCAGGATACTGGGCTGGATGGACCTGTGGTCTGACCCAGTCTGGCCATTCTTATGTTCTATTCTTATGTTCTGGTACCATTGGCCAGCAAAGCCTCCTGAGCTTGGAGGATACACAAGTACCATGTAGGGAGAGAAGAAATAAAGATTGATTCACAGAGTTTAAAGGTTCTGGGTGTGTCAACCTACAACTCACCCATCATAGCTGCTGATTTAAGGGTTCAGGGTATGGGTATGCCAGCCTAGAACACTCTCATCATGCAGCCTTACATTCCAGCTGTATCAGCCCAGAACGCTCCCATCATGCAGGATGATGTTCCCAGTATGACAGCCTAGAACACTCCCATGATGCAGCTTGATGTCCTGGGTATGTCAGTCTAGAACACTCCCATGATGCAGCCTGATGTTCTGGGTACGTAGGTCTAGAACGCTCCCATTGTGCAGCCTGATGTTCTGGGTACATCAATACAGAACACTTCTTGCCGTGTCACCCTATGTTCCGGGTGTGTCAATGCGGGTTTATGGGGAATGCTCTGGTAGCCTGCGGTAAGGTTAGAAAGCCAGCTCAGCACGAGGTTCCCATCTCTTGCTCTCCAGGTGAACCCAGCAGATGGCGAGAACTACACCACAGTGGTGGAAATGTACTTCATCTTCAGCATGATCTGGTCTGTGTGCGCGGCGGTGGACGAGGAGGGCAGGAAGAAGATTGACAGCTACCTGCGAGAGATGGAAGGCTCCTTCCCTAACAAGGTCCCTGGCGCGTCTCCCCACGTCTCCCCTCTCTGTGGGCACGAGGGAGCCCAGAGGAATGGTGGTTCTGTGACCAGAGCAGAGCCAAGAGGGTGATGGGAGGGGAATGGCCAATAGGGGAAGGGAAGAGGGACAGCGCTTGCCGGGGGTGAGCAGCTCCATGTCATTTCCTCCCATTCCTGCCCCGCTCCCATCTCTCTTCACGGCATTGACACCTCAAGCCCTCCGTAGTCCCCAGCTACAAGGCTCTGCTGAGCCCAGGGCCTGATCCCCTTGATGGGCCCCAGCTCCGGCTCCTGTCCTGGCCACGTGTTGGGCGCTCCCAGGCCCAGGCCCCTCACGGGCTCTCCCTGCTCCCTCCAGGACACCGTCTACGAGTATTTTGTCGACCCCAAGAGGAAGAACTGGGCCTCGTTTGAGGACAAGCTGCCCAAAATGTGGAGGTACCCATCCAAGTGAGTAACTGGCTGCTGGGGGCTGAGATGGGCTCTCATCACCTAAGCTGGAGCCAGTCTGAGCAGGAGAAGTGGGGTTCCTAAGCTGGGGGGAGAATTGCACGCTCTGGGAATCTCCTACAAACGATAGATTTTAAGTGATTCTAAGGGATAGCAAACAGATCAAGGACGATTACCTAGAAAATAAACAAAAACCGCAAACTAAGCTCAATATACTACATAGATCGGCTCTGAATAGCAGATCCTCACCCTACGAGATGATACAAGCAGGCTGCAGATCCTTAAGGGGCAAGCTGCACTTGCTTACCACTTGGATCCCCAGGCTCCAGTCACAGGCTAAAAATCCCTTTAGCCTGGGTCCAACACTTCCCTCAGGTCAGTCTTTGTTACTCAGGTGTTTCCAGGAGTCTTGGGTAGGGCGTGAAGAACCCCAGATGATGTCACTCCCTCCCTTATGTAGCTTTTAGCCCTTTGTGTCAAAGCTTGGCTCCGAGACTGGTCTGTGGAAAATTACTGACATCCCAAGATGGAGTCTAGAGACATGTGGTCACATCACAGGTCCTTGTAGAGTCATACCAGCCATCATAGAATCGTAGGGCTGGAAGGGACCTCAAGAGGTCATCTAGTCCAGTCCCCTGCACTCATGGCAAGACTAAGTATCTAGACCATCCCTGACAGGTGTTTGTGTAACCTGCTCTTAAAAACCTCCAATGATGGTGTGACGATGCGGTTCTGGCGGGACCCAACTGAGAGTGCCAACTCAGGACAAATTGCTCAAACGGGGCAGTTACAGCCCAAGGCTGGGGTTTTTCCACCTCTAAGGCAAACCAAACCAGCCAGACTAAGGGGACTTCGGTCTCACCCCACTGGCTAACCGCAAGTTTCACAAGCAATCTCCTTAACACTCCAGTTTCCCAGTATCACCACCAGTGCCACTCGTTATGGGGACAAATGGTTATGAAAACCAATACCCAAGTAAAAGAAAAAGGTTCTCCCAATCCCAAAGGACCAAGCCCCAGACCCAGGTCAATATACAAATCAGATCTTATCCACAAATCACGCTGTTGCCACTCCTTCAGAATCTAAAATCTAAAGGTTCTTCTTCGAGTGCTTGCTCATATCCATTCCATTAGGTGTGTGCGCGCCGCGTGCACGATCGTCGGAAGAT